GGGGGGGGGGGGGTTGACACTTGTTCAGAGGTCCAATTACTGAACCTCCAGGCCTACTCACATTAATAAAAAAATTCTCGCATTTTTTTGTAAATCTTCGCTTAAGACTTAAGAGGACGCCAGTAATTTTCACAATCTTAAGAATTCATAAATCTGAAATGATCCTCTTCAGGATTTTTACTTTTATTGATTTTTTTTATAAGCTGTCACAAAATTTATTATAATATTTATTTATTTTTAAAAATTGATAATTGAATCGCGATGTTTCTTATCAAAAATTATCAAGATTGTTTTCTTTTGTGTATAAATAATTAATTTAGAATAACACGGAAATGATTTAATAGGAATTATGAAAATCTGATTATAGAATACTATAAAGGAAATTTCTCTTTATTCAATTCTTATATTATATTAAATACTTTAAGGGAAGGGAGAGAGGGGGTGGGTTGATAGTGTCTTAAACTAAATTTGGGTTTATTATTCTCTTTTTGTCCCAATAAAAATAAATTTTGAAATGATTTTTATTTAAATTATTCTTTTATTTTTGAAAACATTGTTTATAATGACACTATACTCATTTTTGAGGGAGGAGAGGAGGATATGGGGGGGGGGGTGAATTCTATTCAGTTACTGTTAAATTATTTTATCATATTTGTCCTTACATCTTTCCCGTGATTTGGAGAGATTGAAGTAATTTTAAATTCCATTAAACATAATATGGAAATGAAAATTCATCAATTAAATTTCTTTTGACATATTTCGATATTAATAATTTTGTTATCTTAACCTTTTTTAAATTCCACTGTTCATTCAATTTTTAAAAAATCAACATACATATTGCAAAATATAGCAAGTTAAGTTTCATTACGTCTGAATCCTCAACATTAAGGTTCATATATTGAATATTCTTCTTCTTAGGTAGATAGTATATTGAAAGCTTAAATGACATATAAAACCCAATTATATATATATTATATTAAACAACTCGAAAGTAGTTTGACATTAACAAATTATTTTGAAGTATGCCTTCATAAGAGGATTGTTCATCAATTGAGATGTATTCCAACATATGTAAATATCTGATAATACTTGTGTTTTAATTTATCACCTCTAGATGTTAATTTCTGTTAGAAGAATACGATATACATTTTAAAAAGACGAAGTAAATTGTGATATGATATACGCTTGATTGTCTGGTGTTCCATGACCGGAACATGAATAACAAAACCAATAATTTAGCACAAATGAAAATATTAAGAATTATATATTTCAAAAAGTTATATAGTACATATTTAACATTATAAATATCAAAATTACTCCTCGAAAGGGCAAAGGGGATCAATAATTTAAAACCTCATCTGAGAATCTTCCCTTGCGTTATAATCCTTATCACCCCCTCCCCAGAAAATTTCCTTACGCTTTTGAATCTAAGCCATCCCCCCCCCCCCCCACCATGGTAGAGACAGCTGTCAAGGGATAAGTCATAGTCATTATATTTAAAACCAAAATTTAATTAAAATATTTTTAAATAATCCCCCAAGTGTAAGACGTCACCCTAAAATTTTTCAGGTTTTTTTCTGAAATGAATATCTTCAAATTCTAGCTCGATAAAATAAAAAAAATTAGAATAAACACCTGGGAATAAACGCCCAGCCTACAAAATTTAATCTTGCTTAAGCAAAATTTCATGGCACGCCAATGTGTTTCTTAATTTAAAAAATTAAACAATTTCAAGAACGATCAGCTGTCCACATTCTTAAATGGGGAGGAGGGAGGTAAATGTAGAAGGAGGGGTTTGAGCCTTATTATAGCTCTAGAGGGCGATGATATGGCTAAGGGTAAAACTAAGTCGATGACTTTAAAACAAATGATGACTATTTGAATAATATTATTGTTCAATTTATTTTTTAAAGTATATCATCAAAATTATTATTTTTGTCAAGAATAGTTTTTTATTAATCGATATTAAAAAAAATACTAGCTTGATAAGGTTGTTTCCAATATTCAAAAATTAAAATATAATGAATTTAAATTAGCATTATTATTTCTTACTCACTTGAATTTATATCTCATAAATTTTTATCTTTATAAAATTTTATTAACGAATACGATACTCTAATTTTGATATTTTTGAAAAGATATAATCATATTTATATTTTTTAACTTTAACTCTTTTTTTTATTGGCAATGTAATTATCAAAATTTCATGAAATTTTGATTTTTATAAATTGGGGTAATTGAAAAAAAAATCTATATAATATAAGTAGAATAAGTAGAATATTCCCGACAATTATAAATAAATAACATTTCATAAAAAGGGATTGTTAGATGTTTTGAGTCAGGTTTATGGACTAAACAGGAATTTAGAACTTTTTTTTACCAATGATAATATTGATTCTTTTTCTCCCGTGCTAGATATCCCTGAGGTAGCTAGGTATGGGTTATAGTTTGGGTTCGGCCGTTATATTCGAGTTGAATTATCTCAAGAATTTTTTTTTATAATAATAAGAAAGAAATTTTTTCTTCACAGTTCGGGCAACTTTGTACAAAATATTTTTGAGGGCCGGAAAACATATAAATCTTAACGCGCTGTTTTGGGGTGTGTTAATCTTTAGATATGATTAATTGCAAAACGACCTGTTCTCGTGTTAGTGTAAATTTAAACGTCAAGTGGTAGGACTCGATTGGTTGCTTTTTTAATGTTAGTAGAGATTTATATCAATTTTCTTTTAAATTTAATCAGATTCAAAAAATCACGGAGAGTGTAAAATTGAAATATGAAAAAAAAAATTTGAATAAAAGGGCTTCATATATTTGGCAAAGATATAGACACCCAGCCAGAAACCTGCCGTAAAATAATATGATTTTTAAAATCCGTTGCCTGAAAAAATGTAAAATTTATAAATTTGGTTAATTTAACCCTTTGATTTTCATATTTTTTAATTTCCCTATATTGAAACTACAAAATCTAACAAATATTACTTAGAATGACCAGATTTTAAAATCTATGTGGGACAGTAAGGTCGCATTTATAATGGGATCCTATCCTACATTATTTAACAGCTGATTGATTTTTAAAATCTATCAGATCTTTCTAAAAAAATTAATACCATAAATAGAATTTAAGAATAGATGTAAATCGAGTTGAATCGGGTGCCACTATGAATGCAGCCCAAAGGAATCAAGATTTTAAAAATCCGAGCCGAGTCTAAAAATATGTTTTTTTAAAAAAGCCAATCTGATCCAAAAATAAGAACTGGCCCTAGGCGAGGTATTAAAATGGTATCTGATTGGGTCTCAGGCGTTGAGATCTACTGGCATAATTCGATATTAAAAACGCGTGCTAACATTTTTAAAAAAAAGTCACTTAACTTTAATATTTGATTTATTTCGTCGTTTTATCGGCTTTTATTGTTAATTCAAAATCAATTAATTTGAATTCCATTATTTATTTTTTATTAAACGTTGATGATCATCGTTATCGGGATTTTAGTTCAAAAATATTGTTTCATTAATTTTTTATCAAACTGATTAAAATAATTTACAATTAAACAATGAAAAGATTTTCATAATAAAGCTTTCAGTCCTTTCTTGATGGTAAGGTTGACAAAAATTTTGTTTGCTAATAAAATTTTTTCCTTTATCCAGGCTATTATGCACTTATACTAATAAAATACAAAATATTGGCATAGATTTTTGAATTAAGGCTTTTAATTGTTCAGCTACTTTAACGAAGATGATATGAAGATATAATATTAAAGCAAGATAAAAAAATAACTACGGGAAAATCCAAAATATTATAATTTTCCATGAGCAAGACCGACCAGGTGCCAGTAAAATGTAGATTTTGAGGTGAAGCCCTCGGAAAATATTTAACAACCCCCCCCCCCCCTCCTTGAATAAATTGTGACTACGTACTGTTTAATAAAGAATTAAGATCAATGTGTTATTTTTCAACTTTACCTCATTTATTTTATTTAGATTTTTCAAATTTCATCAGATTCAATGGCGTCACTATGGGGAAGGGGGGGGGCACAAGGCCTCGAGCCCCCAAATATATTAATAGCCCCACCCCCCAATATTTTTAGCACTAACCAAAAAAGGTAATTTAAAAAAATAATCATTTTTTAAATTTGAGCCTTATGAGATTGTATAGGCTCGTGACGCCACTACTGATTATGTGGGAAATGAACTACAATAAGCTTATGCGTGGAATAATTACTCTATAAAAATTTCAAATCGTGTTACAGAAAACCGGTGTCAGTAAATATCCCCATAAAAATAAAGTTATTTATATTTGTGTAAATAAAAAGAATTTACATTTGGGCACCTGACACAGGTTAGAGATTAGCTTTAAAAGCTTTCTTTCTTTCTAAATTTTACATTTTTTAATTGTTTTGAAGAAAGATCCATTTGATTTAACCAAAAATAACTTATCTCATTTGTTTGATTTCACCAAAACAAAACACATCTATTGGTTAGGGCTAATGTTATATAGAAATATGGGCCTACATTGCCTAAAGTTATTTTTTAATAAATTTACTAACGCCTTACATGTTGGATGAATCACCATGAATCTTGAAACCACTTTGGTTGGCATAATTGTGTTAAATTGATAGGATGAGCATTTTGCACATTTTGGGTCAGATCTTTAGGCAAAATCAGATATTAAATTTTTAATAAAAAGTGTTCGACTAACTCATATCACTAAATAGTAGTATTATAATATTTAACATGTAGTATAATTATTATTTTATTTTTGTTTTAAATCAAAATATTCTTTCTTTATTTAAATAGTTATATCTAATAGGTATGTAGTATAATAAAACGAATATTTATAAAAAATAATTATAAACTAAGGATTATGACATTTTTTTTAATGATTACATTAATTTAAGATATGGCTGGCACTGTTGGTTACCTGAACATTATTAATATATTTTTATCGTGAAATATTGCATCGTTAATAATAAGAAAATTCAATCGCTACAAAACAACAAATGCAAGTGCGACCATTTTTCATAACAATTGATCGTTAAAACCGAGAATCTGGAAACACAACCTGTTAGAAGTGAAATTAAAATTATACATTTTTTTTTATCATTATTATTATGCCTTTATTAAATAAAAACATCTTTTCATTATTATTGATTTTATTTTTTAATACGATATGCATATCAAGAAAGTCGGGGTACCTTGGCAAAAATCGCTGATATCGTTCAAGAATTTTGCGAAGAGGAAGAAGAAAGTATAGAAGTTTTTTTAAATTTTTTTAATAGAAATATCGAAATGGAGCATATAAATTGTGGCAACCTTTAAATAATGACCAAATCGTAAAAATAAATCATTTAAACTCCGATGTAGTTTAAAAAGTATTATTTGTAACTATCTTTGTTATTATAGAATGATAAAAAATGACATAATCTACTATTTTATTAAATTTTTTTATTATGTAAATATTCTTTTTGCATACAAAATTATTGATAAAATATTAACGATATAGCCTTGACCAAAGAACAGGGCAAAGAATTAAATGTTAGATTAAACAGTGCCAAGTCTAAAATAGCAAATGTGTATGAGACCCTCAAAAAAAGTGTGGATAAGCTAAGGGAACAATATGTGGATTCGAAAGAAGATATTAATCCTCTAGGTAGATATGAAAAGGTGAAGAATAGTATAAAGGAAGTTATTAACACGAATAAATCCCTCCAAAACACACTAGGCCTTTTACCAGAGCAAGATGAAGGCGAAAGTAAAATGGAATATACCATAAGGCTTGTATCAACCATGGAAAAGGGTGATAAAGATTCTTTGGAAAGCAATGAATTATGTAGGAAGACTTACAATAGCAATAGATTAAATATCAATGCAGCGGAAAGGAATAATACACTACCTAATTTGCCCGAAACCGATAGTTTTATATCTCGACTATCCTTCAGAACTAAAAATAAACATAAGATTTTAACCAACGATATATGGACAGGTTTTATTTATTTTTCCTAACCACGATCTTAAAAATTTATAAGAATATAAATTATTTTTGAAGTTCTTGCTTCAAGTGCGATATTTTTGACACCGTATCAGCAACTTTCAATTTGAACATTAAGAGGCGTTTGCCACATATTTTCTAAAACAATGATAAATTATGAGCCAAAAGCATTAAATACTTAGATTTACTTGAAAATACACGATTTAAGAAGATACAATATTAGGAATAAACCTTGAATGTCAATTAATAAAAATAGTTAGTTTTATATTATCTATCCTTTTATAAAACTAATTGAATTTTTTTATTCCCATTTTTATTCATGATATTTAGGTTATTCAGCCAACGAGATACAAAAAATGAATGTGCAAACTCAAATGGAGATACACAAAATCATTCGTAAACTTTTCATACTAAGGTCCATGATATATTCCCTCGAGGAAGAATATAATGAATCTAAAAATTTACCCATGCTTTGGCGGTACAAAATACTCAAAAAGTCAATAAAAGATGTAATTCGGCATCCAGAATACATAACAATGTACTCAGAAAATGTCGATCATTAAATGGGTATCAATTATGATTTAAAATGAAAAAAATTTATGAGTTATATATTTCATATAAAATCATAATCTTCTTGATGCTCAGGTAATAATATATTCTGTAATCATGTAAAAACTACCAAAAAAATATATTAAATAGCTGAAAATATATCATTGTAAAAAGTCTAAAAATCAATAACTGTTCGTGTTAATTATTACATAATTTAACATTTTTATGTCTATTGTTTGTGCCAAAAATATAGAAAAGGGGTCTAAATCAGTGATAGGATGACGTTTTGTTCTTTACAATATATATTTTGCTATGACAATAATTTTTTTTTACTTATATTATATAATTATTATTATGATGTTTATAATTATAATATATCAGCCTATGCATAAAGATTTCTTTAATAACAACTTAAATGATAAGGAAAAAACTATTGGTAAAAGGATAACTTTATCAAAATTCAAAATGATCGGGGTGTTGGAAACCCTAATGCACCAAGCTAGCAAAATATAAATTTTAAAATTTCCCAGGTATTAAAATCATTTAAGTTTTCAAGTAATGTTATAAAAATTACATGTTGAAGATGATTTGTAATAAATAACTCAGAAGGTGATCGTTATTTGAAATATTCTTATCTTAAATTGTCATTGTTTCATTTTCAAAGCTGGCTTACATTTAATTTATTAATTTCTTTCCCTGAATCATTAAACAGTGAAGGTTTGGTTCAGCCTTCACTGAACTACCAGACTGATCCTATACAATGATATATACCTGTTTTTAACTTTATATTAATTAAATATGATGATGCATATGCTTATTTTTACTTTTCATTTTCATATTTTATATATAAGTGCGTAAATTTAATTTTCGAAAGTAATTCTGAAAAGATAATAGTAACAGAGCATTGTTGCATTTGTATCATTTTAAAAGAAACTAGATAAGGTTACTATGTAATACTTTAATTTTTGTGTGGAAATTGGTAAAAGGTTAAAAAACGCAATAGTTTTTTTTAAATATTATTTTCCTGTATTTTTTTAAAAAAAATACCATATCAATTAAAACACCTAAGCGTTTAGAAAAATATAACAACTCTAATGCTCAATTCGTAAGCACTATTATTAATACTATATTAGTAGTTATATTTTTGTTTAAAATTTTCATTCAGATGTTTCATCCGTTTTCGATGTATTATAGTACATTAATTAAGAAAATTTATGTAATGTCTGGTTTATTTCTAGAACTTTAGTCATAATAATATAGATATAATTGATTAGTGAATATCGATTTGAAGATGAAATTTGCAGATGTTATATCATTTAAGGAGAACGTATTTGTTTGGGATGATAGAATGTATTATATACAGTAGTAGCTTAACAACGATGCTCCTGGCCCGAGTATAAACTTTTTACAGGCCTGTCCTCAGTTCTTTTGTTTACTTCGCTACGAAATAGCGAGTCTCCCTCAATTTTATAACATTAAGATGATAAGAAAGTCAATAGATAAAATTAAATTAACATTAAGAAAATAGAAAAAGGATCACTTATAGATTACTGAGACTATATATTAGATAGAAAGACAAACTGGACATTCACATCGTAATCAATTGAATTAAACCCTTCTAATTCTATACTGAACAAAATATTTGTATAACCGTTTTTGGAAGTATTTAGGCATATTCTACTAATATAATAATATTTCTTATATATATATTCATTATGTTAGGCAATAAGGAAGTGGCATTTTATGCCTAGTAGCAGTGAGGTAACGTAAAACTGAACAAATATAGTTGTCCCTAAACAAGGCTTAATCTTGCTTCTAATTTCCTACCAATAGTCGTTGTCATTTAATGTGTAAGTTTTCATATTTAAGTTATTAGTTCTCTACAGGATTATAAAATACCAATTTAAAAATTTTCATAAAATAAAAGCTTAGAGAACAATAGATTAAAAAAATTATTTGTCAAAATTAGCGATTTGTTTTAATAAAAAACTTATACAAATGTGCTCATAAGCCTATTCAAAAAAAGGTTCGAATATTTAATTCACAATGAAATATGAATATTAAATAATCCTTTTATTTGAATAAGAATAATCAATTATTGAATTCAAATAAAACGAACTTTTTAGATATTTAATAAAAACCAATCATATTTATTGATAACTTGAAAATCTGACAGGTGATGTGATTGATTATAGACACTGTTAGAAATTAAAAAAATCAGCTCTGGTAGTGGCAATTTCTGAAGTAGTATTTGAAATCTTTTATAATACTATCCCTTTTTTGAATCTCATATCAAATTATAATAAAAATTCAAACAAACTCAATCGAAATTAGCAAGGGATTACATATCTATACAAGCACACTTGTGAAAGGCTTTTCTTATTTGAAACTAATTTGCCGTCAAAAAATCGTAATATTATAAAGAAGAAACAATAGGAAAAGCAGGGACGAGAACCCTCCTTCCATAAAAATGGGTACGGGTTCAGTGAAAAATCTTTGAAACCGTCGGAGAGCAGAAAAATAATAACTTATTAAAATTAGTTAAAATAATAAAAACATCATTTTTTAAAATTTATTTTAATTAGTATAGCTATAAAAATAATTATCATCATAATTATAATATATTATATATATAATATCGTTGGTCTAGAAATTGAGTGATCCACTGGACATTTTCAAAATTTTTGAGTTAGATGTGGATAACTTATTTATTCCCAATATATCTATAAATAAAATCTATTAAAAAGATATTAATTTTTACCAAAGTTATTGTCAAAATTGATAAATAAATTTTTCCTATATTTGTTAAACTTTAATTTTCTCATTTTAAATATTCAAAATTTTTGAATTAGAAATGGATAATAACTTATTTATTCCCAATATATATAAAAAATAAAAACTAGATTAAAAAATATTAATTTTTGCCAAAGTTATTGTCAAAATTGATCAATAAGTTTTTCCTATATTTAATTTTAAACTTTAATGCTGATTTTCTCATTTTAAACATTTGCGTAAGTGGAGCACTCCAATTCTAGATCGACGATATAATACTACAATACAATTTAAAAAATTATTAAATATAACAAAAATAATTACATGAAAAAATGACCCTTTTGAATAAAAAAACAATTGTTTTGAATAAGAACTCTTTTTAGGAAATCTTTTATAAATAAAAATCGTAAATTACATGTTTTTTATATTATATTATTTTTAACATAAAATTTAAAATAAATAAAATGAAAATTTAAAATAAAAAAAATAAATTTTTTAAAATTAAAAAAAAAAAAACTTGAACCCTAAATTTTAAAAAAGGGTTTGGGTTAGGCAAAATATTGAGGGTTCGGGTTCTCGTCCCTGAGGAAAAGATATGTGCTTTTGGCTTGACATAAATTATATTAATATGCATTTTAATTTCGTTGATAATTTGATCGCCGTATTCTTTATCTTTGAAATATCTAATTTAATTTAGAAAAAACGTATTATTTAAATCAAATACAAATAGTAAATTCTATTATTCGTTCGTATACGAATAGTAAATTATTTATTTTGTTTAAACGAATCTAATAATGAGTTCGATTCTTATTTGTTTTCGAATAGGCATATGTGCTCATATCATAACTGGACGATATCAGGGGCATAAAGTCATAATTTCGAACATGTGATTGATCTATTTATTCATTATTTACACAAATGTTCAAACTTTGAATCAAAAATTTCAGGAATTTAGAAACGAATTATGTAATTAATAAATAAAGGAAATCTATGCCGTGATAGTTATTTCTTCCCTTCGACTATAACCAATAACGTCGTTTATATACTTTTATTCGAATAATTTACATTAAATTATTATTTTATACAAATAATTATGATAAATTACAATATTTGTGTCGTAATATTATGTGGGTTAATTTAAAAATTTATTTTTATAAGGTAATAAAAAAGGAGAATATAATAAATGTTGATATAAATATAAATAAATTATCAAAATTTTGTAAACGGATTAATGTATAATTAAGTGTTACCCTTATGCGAACTCAGTATTTTTCTTTGGTCTGACTACAGAACAGTTCCAAAAATTCTCCTAATTATTTTAGTAGTCTAGATGGCGCTAATATCAAGTTAAAATTTTAATTTAGTTGTGTGTATATATATATATATTCTGTTTTAAAGAAAAATTTTTTGGGTGCTATCTGTAGTCATGGCCATATTTTATTTATTTTTGTTAAAAATGTTTGAAATATATAATATGAAAAATCAATCGTAAAAATCTTATAAGATTTAAAATTATAAATTTTATCTAAAATATAAGGTTTGTAAAATATTAATTTTAAATGATATGATTTTGAGAATTTACAGTTTTAAATAGTCAAAACAAACAAAGAATATGTAAATATAAGTTTTAATCAAATAATTGGTTTAAAAAAAAAATGAATATCACAATTAATTGAAATAAATGACTCGTTGATTTGGATGCTTGTGGAATAATAAATTTGCGATTAAAATAATTATGATATAAAAAAGGTGACATCAAGGAGGTCACGATTTAGAAAAACCTTCCCTCTCTAAATATTATTATTTTTTTATAAAAATTGAATGTTTTTTTAAAGGGAGAAGCAATATAATGCTTATTTATTATATTTTCTAAGTGCCTTAAAATAATATTATTTGTAAATATTACGAATATATTTAAAAACAAATCAGTTGTTATTCATTCATAAAAATTAGTTGAATAATAATTTTTAAATTTTTTTAAAAAAAGAAGAAGACTTATAAAATATAAACGAAATAAATTAGTTATTCTTATTAGTCATTATGCTTTACTTTGATTCAAATTTATATTTTTTATATTAATAAATATTGGGAGGGAAGGGAGGGGGCTGACTCAAAAAAATGCCAATTTTGTAAGAGATTTTAGCATATTCGGGTCTAGGAAATTAAAAATAATTCTATAATTTTATAGATTTTTTGAATGATACTGATCGCGTTTACTAAATTTGTTTTGAAAAAATATGGAAGGGGGAGGCAATTTAGTTTCTTCGAGAATAAGTTAATTTTTATCAAATTTACGCTAAAAATTTTTTTAAAATGCTTGGTTATTTATAAATTAGCGCGTTCAAAGGATGCCCTGATTTAATTTAAAATAATATCGCCTCGGGCTATAATTGATTTTTGCATTATAAATTTTAATAGTCACAATAGACATGGTCATGACTTTTTTGAGGCTTTACCGAAATTTTTTTTTAAAGTTTCACAATTCATGAAAGTTAATTTTTTTAAATATCTTTCATAATTGTTTTGCAATCATTTTTCTCGGTCTTCATATCAATATTCATAGTTTATGTATCAATGTTACATCTCTGTCACAATCAAACGCCGTATCTATCTTATGATAATTTTTAACAATTTTTTCGATCATCTGGTCGTCGGATTTTGGATGAGATTGCTTAAAAGGAGTGGCGGTTAGGGAAGCGAATGAAAAATTGCGAGAAGGAACTAGGCTTAGATACCGAGGTGTCAACTTGTTGGATGAGTTGCCATTTTTCTTTCGAATGATTTCATCGTCCTCGTTTCTAAAATGTTGTGTATCGATGGAAAAGCTAGGATGTTGCATGTGCATAAGGTTTGGTAAGGGAAAAGATGGAGACATAGATATCAAGTTTGTTTTGGATCGAATTTTGATATCTTGGTGGTGATACATGGGAGCACAATAACCGTTCTGTGAAATAAAAACATGAAAATATACAGATTTTTTTTAAAAAAAAGGTATATAAAAACTTTGGGCCATTTATAAACAAAATTTTTTTCTAAAGCAAGAAAAAATAAATGGCTTATAATGCAGATGATTTTGCTTTTTTTTAAATGTCAAAAATTTTGAATTTTATTAACGATTAAATGGCGTCTGATACGATTGAAGCGAAAAAGGAATTATTTTTATTTTATCATTCAATAAATATAATGAATTTATGCTAAATTTTATTGATAATTTTGTAGAGGCTCATAATGATCTATGAAGATAATCTAATGATAACCATTAATAAAAATATTTAGGCAGCAGATAAAAAAAATTGATTTTATATGATCTACATCAATTTAGAAGAATTTCAAACATTTCACTTTCTTGGACTAGCAAGGAATATTTTCCACTACCTTCTTAAAAAATTGAAAGTAAAATTACATATACATATGCAAAACAGCTATATCCCCTGAAAAGAGGCTAGTTACTTAGAAATGATAATATTTAGGTATTAAAATTAAAAGCATTTAGGATACCTATTAACAAGTTTAAATTACTCTAAATCATCTTATACAAACAGAATAGGCAAAATTTACATTGCTATATAATTCCAGATGTATGTGACGCTATATGGCAGTTAAAAGTATATCCATATGCTATTTTCAACTTGTTAGCCGAAACAAAAAAGATTTAAAAAATACAAAGATCTCAACAATTTTATATTTTACTCTAATAGTCATCCCCACAAACAGCCAATTTTGGCCTAAAACTTTTAAAGCCCCTAGGCCTCAAAATAAGACATTTATTTTACCAACAAGGCTAGGGGAATTGCCTTATATCCGAGAAAAAATTAAATTAAAAATATTCCGACATAAATTATGGCTTATTTTTAATTAATTATATTATAATATATATATCATTTTATAGCTTTTTAAACAGTTTTAAATCAGGGATGTGAACCCGAACCCTCCTGAACCCTTAATATCATAAATTATTATCTATTTTAAGTAATAATATTTTATTATGTAAATTTATTAAGAGATTTCCCCACAAATATATTACATCAGATGTGCAGACCATACTCTATAATTGGCTATAATTGCCTAAAAAATAATCACTTTAAAACTATCATTGAAGCAAGGGATGTTGCTAAATATTTAAGAACTCCCACAATTGTAAGAATATTAAAATCAATGAAAAGGTCAATGACATTATAAAATTGCACAACACGTTGGTCCTCAATTTGTATGAAACTAGAACGATTATTAAGTTTGAAAAATTTTCGGTAATGATTTTATTATAGGAGCATGTGAAGTCATATTGTCGAAAGATGATTGGTGCCAAATAAAGGACCTTACTAGTGTATTAGTTCCTTTAAAAATAACAATATTAAGATTACAATCAGAACAATTATGTTTAACTGATTTTTATGGCATATGGATTAGATATCGATATTTAAGAGAAATACTAGTCCTTTTCATATGAAATATTAGAAAACATGTAAATTAGAGAGTAACAATATTTTCAAAATAGTGTTGTATACGCTTATATATATTTAGACCCTCAATATCAAGTTTTATTGAGTATTGAGCAAAAACAAATGGCTAAAGACCATCTTAAGGATTTATGGCATACGCAAAACTCCATTATTTACAATATATTGGAGGCTACGACAATAATACCTACTGGTTGTAGTGATAATAATGTTATGATAGCAACAGATGATCTTGAAATTTTACTTTTAGATAGAAAGAAAAAAATAATGTACTGACTTTTCAATTTATTCTTGATCTGGCATTAGCTTCTGAGCGAGCAGATAAAGAAATGGCAAATAAAAATATGCCAGTTGTTAATAAGATAAATGTTAATAACAAAAGAAATGATAATGATAATAATTATAAACATCCAATAAAAACGACGACTACAATTGATAAAGGCTATAATAAAGTCAAGTATAATAATACATTTGATAAAGAGAATAATAACTACAATAATAATAATGATAAAGATTATAATAAACTTAAATGTTATAAATGTGGTTTTATTCATAACCGAGAAGTGAGATGTCCAGCTACAAATGGCGACGATAAATGGAGAAAATAATTCCTTAAATGGAGATAATAATTCCTTAAATGGAGAAAATAATTCCTTAAATGGAGATTCAAAAAAAATAGCGGATTTATCTACGATTAAATTTGATAAATTCGAGTTGGATACTTCTATCCACAGATATTTTTCTCAATGGGAAGCCAGTTTTCGGTTAAAAAACGTAAGCCCATCTGAATGTCAATATAAAGATATATTTTTAACATTTTTTGGCAATAAGAATATTGAGTTGGTGGACCGTTTTTGTTATCCTGATTCGATCGAAACTTTATCTTTTAAGGAAATTAAGTCAATATGTTTTAAACTATTTAAACCGACGTCAACAGCTTTTGCTTCTAGATTTGATTTCGTTAGATTACGGAGAACAACTGAAACCATAAATGAATTTGCAAATAAAATTTGATATCAAAAATAAATTGAAATATAAATTAGTAGTCGTATTGTTTATAATTTAGTAGTTGGTTTCTTCTTTAATGGAAAAGTTCTCAGAAGTTAAGAGAATAAATAAGGGCACAAATATTTTAAAATTCTTCAATATATCCAGAATTATATACCTTGTCTAGAATCGTCATGGCTGTACCGGTGACACAAGTACAATAATTTTTGTATTATAAAGATAACTATCCATTTTAGGTAAGCGTAGAAAAGGATTTTCATCTTTGAATATATATTGTCTAATTTACGTGGAAGTCTCAAGGATGATATTTTATAATATATTATGACTGCGCGATTGAATAAAACATTTAAAATATAAATTATTTCATTTTTAAATTTTTTATTTGTAAATTTTGAATGTGTATATATTGAAGTATACTAATAAATGATTGAAAAGTCTTATTTTGAGTCATTTTTTTATGTTCCCTGAACCCTGAACCGAACCCATTATAAATTTTATTACTGTACCCGAACCCGGACCCTTTTTTTTGTCGAAGGGTTCACATCCCTATTTTAAATAAATAAATAATTTATTTTTAAAAAAAACGTGAACATTCGGAAGTGTATAAATTAGATAATATAATTTATAGATTGCATTGAGAAGTATAGTTTCCCGCATCACCTCGGCTCACTAGATGGGAAAAACATCAGAATAGAAAATCCCTGTAAAATCTTGATACTAAAATTATTTATTTTTAAAAAAAATATATTCTTAATTATTGACTGGTAGTTATTTTAAATTCATATCTTATGGAAAACAGGGTACTAGTGGTACATTCAAGAATGATAGTTTATATCAAAGTGAGGAATTATAAATATTAATAAATAATTTTTAATTATTTGAGAGTTGGAAATTCAATCAATTTATATTCCGTCCTCCAAAACCATTGTCTAATGATATCATTGCTCCATATGATATAATTGATGATCCAAACTTCCCTTTAAAAAATAGTCTTATGAGTAAGACAATATCCAATGAATAATACAAGTCCACAACAAAAACATTATAATTATAAAAGTAGTGATAGAGCTGCATTGAATGCAAATTTGGCATAAGATTGCAAAATAGTGGAGGTTGTAAGAAAAGATAATGTATCATCCCATTAGTGTTACTTTAGTACCCTCTGAATATGGATCTTTCCTTTTTCTCTCTTCCTTTAAAATTGAATCTTTCAAATTTTTTCATTTTAATTTGCATATATTTGGTGTTGAATTAAGTCTGATATATTGTAAATTATTGAAATTCACATCAAATATTGATGCTTACTAATTAATGTTAAAAAATATATTGTTAAATTATTCAAAATAAGTTTTCGTCAATATGTTATATATTTCATAGGTTGTCATGGTCCTCTACAAAATTGATCAACAAAATAATAAGATATAAGATTAATTATATAAAAAAAATTTCTATTAATAAAATCGTATCTTAGGTTGTTAGGTAAATAATATTGCGCAAAATGCATCTCTGAAAAACTTTGAAAAACTGTCTTGTTTGGAAATAGTCTTAGAAGAGAATATTTTTCACTTCATTTTATTTTAGTCATGTAGCGACTGAAATAATTAGTTTGATATTATTAAATTAACCATAAACTCCTCAATTATATAATTTTAAATGTAAGCAAAAAAATATTTGACTTGTACATTAATGATGGAGTTAGAAACCAATAACTCATTGCAGGTCTGTTCTTGTTTATGATGATTAAATGGAATTGGATCAAAGGTTTCTGTAGTTAATAGATATATGAAGCATTTTAGGAATAAAAAGTAATTTTTATTAATGGAGTAATAGATGGGTAAAAAGAGTGTGAATTTGACCTCCCTCCTTCATTAATTTCTTTAAGAGACATGCAAGCCTGGCCCGGGTGGGCCGGGCCGTATATTTTAAAAATAAATATTTTAAATAGCCATTATTAGCTATAAAAATTAAAAATAAATATAATATGTATATATTTTAAAAGGTTAAAATTTAAATATTATATTTGTAATACAATATTATAACTTTCCTATTTAATATTATATTATTGGTCAATATAATTGCATAATATTAGAAGTTAAATTATAATTATAAAATATTATATATAGAAAACAATTTAAAATAAAGATACGATTGTTTTGACTATAAAATAATATATTATAAAAATACCTGGCTGACCGGAAATTTTTATTAAAAAAAAATTCGGGTCAGGCCGCGCAAACGGTACCTCTGCAGGTCTCTGATTTCTTTATTATTACCAATATGCAACTTATTGATAATTTTCGAATATTCTAAAAATATTTGATAATGGATACTAAGTGTTCAAGATTCATTTTTTTTTATATGAAATTTTTTTTGATAACGTGTATATAATAAATAAAACCGCAATTATTTTCGGAGTCTAAATTTGAGCAAAGAGCAGGACTGGTGGCCAAGGTAGATATAGTGGAGACGGTTCGTTTGAGCTTGAATGGGGTGCTTTTATTGAAGCTGAATGCGCGACTCATTTTGCGACTCAGTAGCTTTTTAGCGTTTCTTAACGAATGCAGGGAATAAAATAAAAGAAGTTTATATTTTTATAGTGGTGTTTATACGAATTTATAATGGTTTTTATTAAAATGCGTTCAAATTAAAACAAGTGACTGGCATATTCATTTAATTTTTGATGAAAGCATTCTTTTTAAAAATATGAAGTATATTTAGTATTAAATTTTTTTAAATGTATATGTACCGGTAATTACTGTCAAAAAAAACAAATGCGTTCACATTCGTTCAGACTTTTAGATGTATTTTTTTTCTTCATTTAACAATATAAATACTGAACATCTTATTTTCATTTTTTTTTAAATTACATTTCATATTGAAAACAATGAGTCTTATTAGTATTGTTAAAGACTCGATTTTTAAAAACGACTAACCCAATATTTCAGCCAAAAAATATTATGAAACCCTCAAGATTTCGTTAATAGATGTCCAAACCTTTCTATCTTCATTATGTAAAATCTCTAGGCTTAAGTGATAGTCTTGGCTAAAATATTCGGTTAGCCGTTTTTAAAAATCGAGCCGTTTAACAACACTAGGTCTTATATTTATCGAAGCCAAAATCGTAAAATGTAAAAACTGGCTTACCCGGGTTTAATCTGGAAAACCGCCAATAAACGATAAAGAAGATATATAAATTTAACTAATTCTAGCCATATCCTTCGCTAGGTAAAATCAAGAAAATTTATTTAGAAGTATTAAAAAATTTTTTGGTGATACTTATTATAGTTGGACAAGTGTTATATATTAGTTGGTTATATTTTGACTTCAGCCATAAAAAACTATTATCTCAACCTCAAAGAATTTAGGGTATTTCAACATCATTATCACCTATATTAATCTTTTCTTTTTCTTTGCTACCTCAATGAGTTCTTTTACCAATCTAAATCTATTATGGTGCTTTTATTGTAGTTGCAAAAAGCCTTTGATTTTATTGGTTTTTCTAAAGTTATATTTGGTAAATGGAAAGAACGATTAAACAAAGAATAGTATTAATTAAAAGCAATATACGGACGTGGCTTCCCCAATATTGATTTTGAAAAAATAGGTTTTAGTCGTTATGCATAAAATAATAAATACATTGGGATAGTAAAGAAAAAAAACTTTATTAGAGATGAGGGCTTTAAAATGTCAGAAATGTGGAAAATATTTATTAAATATTTTTATTTATCTATTTAAAAATAGTTCCATAAATTTTTCACGTTTTAACATAAATGAATGCATAAAATATTTTTTGAATTGATTGAAACAGTTAATAAGTTTACAGTTATCGAAATATCTCAATAAATAAATAAAATATCAATTGATATATAGAAAAATGTAAAAATTTAATGTTCAAATCAGATAATTTTAAATTTTATGTTGAAAAAATTATGAAGCCCCATAATCTATCCACTGCTCATATAGTATATATTATATAATCCATATGCCTATCCAGGATCTCCACAAAGAAGGGGGCAGGGGGCAAGGTCTTGAGATCATATTTGTATATTAGATAAATTCTCGTCAAATAAGATCTTTAATAAAAGGAAGAAAACGTAATTACCCAGATCCGTCTATAAGCATATTTATCGTTTAAAATAACCTGAAAGCTTTTGATATGGTTCCATTAACGTTTGTTCCTGCGATAGGACTCGATATGTTGATTTGATCTGGATGAATTGGGTGTAATATGGACCTCTGAGTTTTAATGGTTGAGAAAATATATTTAACTATAATTTAGCGATCATAAATATTATATTAAAATTTCTTGACGAAATTTGTTAAATAATAACTTTGTGTGGAAGTTCTATATGATTTTTCTAATTTAAGAAAATATTTTTAAACAAAAGAAACGGTCTATTATTTACTATTCCAAATCCTAATTAAGATATTAAATAAAATGAATATGCTGTGAAAGAAAGAAAAATTAAACCCCATCGGAGAGACATAAAGTATTGACGGTGTTTTTGTGCAAGGCCTCGAGAATGTAAGGTTTTTTGAGAGGTTCCTCGTCTTCGACCGAAAATAGCAGTAACCTACCTTCCCGGGTATATTGATTCGAATTGTGACTACATATTATGGCAAAGGAGTTCATAAATTCTGTTATGAACAAATAAGAATTAATTTTTAATAGGTTTATAATTCCATGTCAAAGATATTTTTTTAAAAAAAGGATATTTTTCATTTCCGCCGATCTCTTTAGATTTTGGTAAAATTTGGTATGTGGGAGTAAAGTTAATATAACTAAGACTCGATAAAATTTTGGCGTTAAGTTAGAAAAATGACCTATCTTTACCATTTAAAGGTTATTTTTAATACTTTTACTCCTGAGATCTCAAAAAGTATTTTAAAAATAGAAGTTATAGTATAGGTTTATACATAATTTTTATACATGTAAAATTCATTAAAATCTAGAAATGTAGGTTGAAAATTATGTATTTTATATCTTTTGATTGATTTTACTTAACTTCACTAGTTAGCATAGACTTGAGCAACACCAAGTAATTAATAAATAAATAAATATTATTCAAGATTCTTAATGCACCTTCATATTTTTTACTTTAAAAACACACATAGTTACAAACAAAATATTAAATTCTGGGATAATACATTTTTATAAAACCTTCATTGTCAACAATATCCCCTATGATTTTAACGTGCGATAAATGAAGAAGTTCCACATGCTTGTAATTTTTAACACCGCTTTTAGCAACGGGGCCCAGGCTGCTTGTTAAGCTACTAGCGTTACTTAAAGTGCTGGTAATTTTGGTGATTTTATTGGACCGGTTTGTATCATTTATATTGTTAGGAATGGATATAAATTGATTTGTTTTGCTTTGAATATCCATTTTGATCCCTGAATCTGCACATTGATTATTACTACATGAATTGAACGGTAAGGGGAGAGGGTTATGTTTAATAGCTGTAGGATCATTCAAATTAGAGGGATTCAATATATTTTTTGAAACGTTGGAAGTTAACATGTTGGGGTTAGATTTTGATACCGGGTAATGGCTATTGTTCAAATTAGTAGCAGCTGAAGGGTGATTGAGGGATGAAGAAGTGAGGAAATTAAGATTTGTAAGTTTGTTGAGAGATATTGGAGCGTTTCTGCGCTTGCATATCTCAATTTTTTTTTAATATAAAATAATAATGAAATGCATATGAGGACTGTTTTATATACTATTATTTTTTAAATTTAAGAAATCGATTCCTATATCACCATCTATATTAAGTATAGAACAACACTATTCACTAAAATAATCACATGAAAATAGGCCAACTTATGAAAATTTCATTATAAAATTATGATGCGAACAAACATTATATAAAATAAGATATTATATAATCTAATCAATAAATTTGCATAGGTGTCCCTTCATACCTCCAGGCAATCATTAAATAAGAATATGGCTAAATGTCGGCCCTTAACCGATGGCTCATTAGTTAAACCCTGCACGAAGGCTTTGAATATAAATGTTCTTTGGGAAGATAACAGGTTAGGCTATGATTTTTATAAATTTTATAAAGATTTATGAATATTGTTTTTAATATCATTTATTTAGAGAAATGATTATAATGATTATAAAAATAAATTTGAATTGTTTTAAATTTGTACTAAAAAATATTTCTTAAAAGTTAAAAAAATTCAAAATTGCCTATCCAAATACAGAGGCGTAGTGGTGAGGTGGGGTCGGAAGTTTCCGAAAAAATTTGTCCCACTCTTAAAAATATTGCATTTTTATTGCTACTATTCTTTTCATATTAAATACTGTGCAATTTAGTGAAAATTTAATTCCCATACTAAATCTATATATCCAACCTTTGTAATCTCTTATTCAAAAATAAAACTCTCTATGAACCCAACATTTCAAATATTATTAAACGAGCAGTAATATATAAAGTATAAGGATTCCAATTTTTATGCAATTATAACTGGAAAATTATTAAGAAAAATTTTACAGAAAAATTAAGTTTTGAATCGATTTAAATTTTTTCTATAATTTTTCTATAAAATTTAATATTTAGCAATGAGTAGGACATGGCAAAAAAATAATATAATTAATATTTTAAAAATACAAATTTTAGCTTACAAAAAAAAGATTCTAGATCATTATATGTTATTTTTATAATAAATGTGTAAAAGGTAGGAACTCAATATTTTTAATGGAGGGGGTAAGGGTCAAGAAGACTCTGAAATATACTATATAACGGTTATCTAATTATAATAAAGGTTTATAATGTTGTTTTTACTAGAGTAAAATGACCGAAAATATTATTAAATATAAATCTTAAAATTATAAACAATGCAATATTTACAGGACAATTTTCTATATCGTTGACAATTTCAAACATATGGAGTTGGGTTTCTGTTTTACGTTTTCCTTCGTTGATCTGGCTAAAAGTATTAAATATTATAATATTTAAATTAATTTCCTATTTCGTTCTTTTTAATAATAAAGCTCTAAGAGTCTATTCATACCCTCAATGAATAGTAAAGTAATGCGAACATCTCAACTCTCATCTGAGGGTAAAGGGGGAGGGGTATAGCGGTATATTAACTAGCTATGTATGATAAAAGCAAAAAACTCTATTAGTTCTATAAATTTAGGCAGAATGTGTTATTTTTAATATTTAATTAAGCACAAATTATAAAAAATATTTACTCTAAAACGTTCTTAACAGCATTGATAGCTTCGTCCAAAGCAACCCTATCATCGCTATGTTGAGGGGTGTGTTTCAATAAATCTTTTTTGAATGATGATATTTTAAAAAGAATATATTTTCCATTGAAAACTAATTTGGGAAATATTCGATATTTATAAATATTATTTTAAAAGAATAATATAAGACACGTTAATTTTTACTTAATCAGAGCAGCTTATCAAGTTGATTGGCATTCTTAGTTCCCTAATAATTTCATAACACTAATAATAAAAATTATAGAGATGAGGACTAATATTAGTTCAAAAAAATAAGTTATCTCACTAGGATAGGAAAGTATGGAGAAAAACTTTAACCCCCCTTCCCCATTTCCCCCAAAAAAGACGATTTTTTAATTTCGCTGATTTATTTGATAATCTAACCTGATAACAACAAAATTAGGCTAGGTAATCTTTGTACGGGTCGAATTAATAGATCTTCGAGGCTTTGTCTACCACATTCGACTTTATTCTGACATATCTTTTAAATAAATATATTTTTAGTTTTTAAAAAAAAATTAGGCTATTATTTATAAAATGAAGGATAATTTTTTTATCTCTCTTTATACTTTTTAATAATTTCATCAATATTGCATCTAACCTTTTTTCTTCACATAACAAAAATTGTAATACCCAATTTTAAAACTATTTATAAGTTACTAAAATGCCTCGCCTGTCAAAATAAAAATTAACCTCACTTAAAAATATAATAAATTAATAATCTTATTTAATTATAATCGAATTTTCTTTACAAAAAATTACTTTCAGGAAGGCGTGAAACTTGGGCTTAGTTTGATCGCAAAATTTGAGCGTGTTTTTACTGTCGTGGAAAAAATTAATGAAAGGTGGGTATGCTTTGATCATTCCGTCAACCTTTGTAAAAAAATTAATCAAATGAGAAAAAATATTTCGTTTTTCTTTAAAAAAAATTTAAAGTAAAATAGGATCCATGATGGCCCGAATTTGTGACGCGATCAAAATTCTCTACAAATTTTAGACTCTATTCTTCATTTCTATTAAAACTTAACAATCTTCATGATATCCTGCATGTTTAGGCATCGTACTCGGCTATTGACTTTTAAATAGCACCTATTGCTTTTCCAAGCCCGTTTTACAATTAATATTTTTCGATTATAACAGATAAACTATAACTACTTCATGCTTAAGAAAATAATATTAAAATTATGATCACGGCTTCATTCAGTACATGCCCCATAATCTCATCAAATAGATTTAAACCTTATGCTAGATCTAATCATAATAAAAGATAATTTAAAAGATAAGAGAACTTCGAACATCTAAATCCAATGAAATAACGACAAAACATAAATGATGTATAAAAATTACGTGTGCTAATATAACGTTGCCTATACAACTTTCTTCCGTATAATTTCTGAGCAACCTGGATAAATCTACGAGCATTCTCTTGTGCACTTCGTAGATGGGCGGTAAATTTCCGAAAATGGCTTTTATCTCTGTGGGATCGAGCAAGGGTTTACTTGCGCTAACCACGGAACTCGGATTGCCTGAATTGTAATGAATAGAGTGGTCAGATATATCGTCTTGCATATTGGAAAAATTGTTATTGAGGTTATTTGGATTGAGGGTTAATGAAAGAAGGGTGTTAAGGTTCGGTTTATTTTCTTCCAAGGGTTTGTGGTACACCTGTAGATTATTTTTTTGTAAAATAAAAAAAATAAATTATAAGGAAAAATGTTTTTTGTTTTAATTTAATTCGCGGTTCATTTACATTTTTAATTAATTCCAGGCACGTGATATAATTTTTTTCCGTATTCAAAATTTCAACGGCCGTCATTTGTCGGGCCGAATGGCATTGATTGTAATTTAAAATTGAGGAGAGATCGGATGATAATACAACGGGGCTTTCTTATATATTTTTTTAAAAATAAAAAAAAATTGTAATCATATTGTTTAGATACCAATTCATTTAACTTAATAAATTAGGCTTGATTCATAGTGGGATCCGATCTGACATGATTTAACAGATGATCGATTTTAAATCTATTAATGAGATCAATTTTTCTTTAATATTAATCATTTTATTCATGATAATAATCTAATAATCATTGATAATAATAAAAAATTAATCTCATAAAAGTATTATAAAATCGCTCAGATATTAAATCAAATTGGATCTCACTATGAATCCAGCCTTAACATTTCATGTATATACCGATATATAACAATTAACACAAACTATAGATAACAAAATTGACAATGTTGTAAATTAAAATCCAACATCTAAAAATATATTCATTATTTATAAAAAAATGGATTATAAAGAAAAACCGTTGATAGCCCCGAGTCCTTGCAATAACAATGAATTGTCTCCAGAAGAATCTAGAATGGATGTGGAGTAGGATCTTTCCCTCAGAAGCTTGTTGGCGAGACTTATGTTGGTACTGATTTCCAGCATATTGTTATTACAATTGTTAGGACCGTTATTACTATTTAGGATAGAGGTAGTGGAGTTAGATGAAGGAGTATTACATAGAGACCCGTTGAGGAATTTATCTTGATTTTGGGTCTATTATATCATTGTTGTATTAATTAAAAATATTATTTTTATAGTCCCATTTAATAAATTTGTTTTTTATAAAAAAATAAAATTGAAATATCTTATTCCCAATCTATAAAAAAAAGTTGAACTTAAACTAAGCTATTAATGATATTTTATAACAATTATATTTGTTTAGTATATTTTTTAATGGTCTATAAAATAGTGGTGCATGTATGGACTATTATTAACTCATCTTGCTATTAGTTAGACTTGGTCTAGATTTAATATAAAAAATGTAGTCTCTTTCTATGTACTAAAAAACCACTCAAATTTACAAAGGACTGATTTAAAAAAAAAATAGTTATATAGTTATAAGGTAAAGGGAATCATTTTTTTAAAAGTATAAATATAATATTAAATTTTATAGATGCTTAACAAAATTCACAGGAAATATATTCTTTCCAGTAAAGAAAAAACTTTTATAATATTTTTAAAAACAATTAATTTTTAATTAATCTTACCAAAAAGTAGTATAATTTTTCATCGGCGCAAAAATCCAGCTGAATACTGACCCAGAACCACTCCGCCTTGACGATAAGCAAATTGTTTCTATCGCAAGCGTTTATGTTTAAATTTTCGGTCTTTACGTTTTGTTCGTCTACTACTATATGAGTAGTTTTGGGATCTTCGCAGTCCAAAATTTTAGCTCCTATTGGGGTTTGACATTTCGAGAAATTTACAATTTGTTTGGGTATAATAAATGGTGAAAATATGCATAAATATTATATATAGTAGAAAGGACAAATAAACCTTTTATATAGCATTTTACCTAGTAAAATATCACTTCAAAACTTGTAATATTTAAAATGATATTCTCGAACAGTTTGAGATAATAATTTAGGAAATAAATGCTCTATATAAACGTTTAGTTATTTCATCTACTATTCACTGTATGAATTATTAATTGGTATATATTGAAACTAAAAAAGGAAAAACATTATAACTTGTAGAAATTTAAAATTAGATCATAAAGAGAAAGAGATAGAAAATTCTAATTCATTTTTTTAGATTAGATACCTGATTCTAATATTTTCCTACTATGATTATAATTAATTGAAATATTCATTAAAATTTTTATAAGAGCATTAAGAGATGGTGAAGGGAACAAGACATAGAGGGCGATCAAAGATATGCTGGACGAAAGTGCTAAATACTGACATGAAAAAGTTGAGTTTGACCTGGGGCGACGCCCAGAACTGCGTAAAATGGAGAAAGGCAATTAGAAGAGCAAATGACCTATCCGGGTAAACCTGAAAAATGGCCACTAAACGACGAAGAAGAAGAATAGGAAGAGAAGGAAACGCATTGCAAGTTTTAAAAGTTTGCTTGTCAAATTTTTTTACTTCATTCGTTAAAAAATGAATATTTCCATCATTTATTTTTTCTATAAATAAAATTATACCTCTTATATCTAAGAATTTATATTAACTTCTTTTTTTTAAAAAAGTGAATTTATTAGATTACCATTGGCAATGGCTTGATCTTCCATGTGTAACTTTTCTTCGTTTGAAAATCCTATAAAACTCAAATTGCATCCCACGAATGGTTTTAACTTGAAACGTGTCTAAATATTTCGTTGAGAAAAAATTATTAACTAGATTTGAATTTATATTATTTTTTTAAAAAAAAAATTAAAGAAGTGACAATAAACTGCTAAATCTCTGTTCTGAATAGTGATTTTTATAAAAAATTGTAATAAATTACACCTTTAAAAATATTTTAAAGATATAAGTCACACTATGTTTAAATCTACAATAAAAAAATTTTTTAATGATGTTAATACTGCTATTCTGACAAGAATTCAGAACAAAAATTAAGAGCTAGGATGCGATCTTTGCTTAATGGTAATCAATAAAACTTCTTTATTAAACAAATTAAAAGATTACAAAATAATTTTTACATATTCCACAAAGGTATTTTCTTTTATTAAAAATGTTTTCACAAAAAAAGGAGAAAGATCTCATAAAGTTTCACTCTGACAGAGAATTATATAAAAAAAATATATACTTTAAAAAAAATGCCAAAAAAATACTGGCCCTTTTAAATTAGAAAATAAAATTCATTTTGAAAAATATAAATACTTGACCATATTTCAATATTATAAAGTTAATTGTCTCATTACGCTTCAAAAACATTGTGAGATTTATTATATCATCTTTCTTTCTTAAAGTATTACTCTAGGGAAATTTAATAATTTACAATAATTTCTTCTTTGGTCGGAACGAAATCAAGATCGAATCTTCTTTCCCAGCAGTAAATAATCCAATCTTGACTCATGATAGGTTTGCCTAAATTAGATGCGGCCTGGCAGAAAATATTTTTTTCAAAAAGATATAGTATTAATATTAATTTATATCTAAAATCTCTAAATATCTTGACGTCCTAGGTATTTGTGGTCAGACTATAAACAATATAATTATGATAAATTTAGATAGTTTGTGGAGGAATACATTAATAAGTAACCTTCATTTTATGAGATGGTCATTATAAGTTATCTAGTATCACAAGGGTGTGAAAATAAAAATCAATTGGGTTTAAATCGTGATTTAAATCAAGTGATTTTTTTTTAAATTATTAATTTAATTCAAATTTTTCGAGTTCAATTATTTTACTTCAAAAAATTATATTTATTTAACATTGTAATAAGAGAAAATTGTCTAATATCTATTACCGGTGTTTCTTCATTAGTTTTTATATTTTGGATATATGGGCTTATAGTATTATTAGATTTTAAAGCATCAGCAATGATGTAACCTTAAATAAATTGGTATTTCATAATTTATTGTCTCAATATCATAATCCGCTTTCTTATTTTTCTATAAAACTGGTTGCAAGTGAACGTTATAAATCAGAGTTGTTAAAGTATCTAGATACTGTATTTAGATATAAAAATGTGGTATCTGTATCTAGATAAATTTTTGATTAAAGTATCTGTATCTAGATATTATTTTAGAGGTATCTGTATCTGTTTTTAGATACTTTTTAAGATGCATTTTGATATACTTTTATTTAACGCTTTTTTATATTATAAATAAAAATACTTGAGTGTAAGATTTATTTTATTTCATATGAGCATATAAATTAATATTAATATATATATTAAAAAAATTATATATATATGTAAAATATTATTATATATAAAAAAGAATATATAAATATTAATTAAATAGTAATTAAATATTATGTCCGAGTTATCAATAACAAGCAAATTCTGATATTACAATCCATCTCAAGGAATTTGCCATTTTTAATTGCAATGGAATTGGTATTTTATTTTATTCTATTATATTAATTTTTAAGATTAATATTGATGACAAAAATGACGACATTCCATGGCCAATTTATAGACCATATTTTAAAATAATATCTCAAAATAAAGAAAACAAATCTCTGTTAGAAAAATGTTTGCCATGTCCAAAAAATATGAAAATTTCAGTTAGCATTACCTCAACTTGCAACATTGTAAAACATTTAAGGGTATAGATACTAAATAAATGTTTACAATTTTAAATTTTAAGAGAAAACTTCAAATACTCTTAATCCAAATAAAAAAGGGGAAGGAGAAAAAATTTATTAAAGAAAATATTGGACTAGACTCATCGTCCATTGATTTTTTTTCAAGAGACCTCAGACTTTAACCCAAACCATTTTAGATGATTTAATATCTGATTTTATTATAGATGCATTCAGCCATTTTCAATTGTTGATTCATCATTTATAAAAATGATCAAAACATTAGCTCCACAAAAAAAATATAATTTGCAGACAGACATTGGTTGCTAGAATTTCCCAAAGATGGGAGAATGAAAAGAAAGAAATCATTAAAAGTCTAATAGAACCATCGTTAATATGCACAACAGCAGATTGTTGGAGTGTCTATCGCCGGTAAACATATTTCCCAGCTCATTATTAAATTGAAAATTTTTAAACAAATGAACCTGAAATTTTGTTTACCACTCTTAAATGCCTTACTTAACGGGATTTAAGATAGGTAAATTAATAATAAATTAATCAGTATTTAATAATTCTAGGTTTATTGGGACAATTTTTGAAGATGAAAATATTTTGGCAACTATGCTTCATCCTTTTTTTAAACTAGATTGGACATGGTTGCAAATGGATGAAAATTTTAATTAAAAAAACAATTAATACAAAGATTAGTTGAGGAATTATCAAAGTCTTCAAATGAGTGCAAATTAACCTGTGAAAAAAACCAATAATTTAATATCCGATTTTTTTCAGTATCCCACAGCAGGAGATATGATTGTTAATGATTTAAATTCTGATAATCAACAAATTTTAAATAGTTTTTTCAAAAAAGAATGCCGAGATTTTAGTTTTTTTAAACAATATCCTGATATAAAAATGTTATTCATTAAATATAACATAACACCACAATCCCTTCCAGCGCTCCTGTTGAAAGACTTTTTAGTATAGCTAAAAATGTCTTTACAAATAAACGAGGATGTCTTAAACCAAAATTTTGAAAATATTTTATTACTGAAATCTAATAATTATTTATAATCATTTAATCATATATTATTATTTTATTAATGATATATAATAATTATTTATATTAATCATATATTATATTAATATCTAAAAATCATTATTTTAGTTATATTTTGATAAATGTGATATCGAGTCAATAAATTTTTTAGATCATTTCATGAATTTTCACAATAGAATCCTAATTTAGGTTTATTCAAACCTTATCTAAGAGTATAATAAAAAATGTATTTGTACCCAGATACATTTTAAATTGTATCTGTATCTAGATACATTTTAAATTGTATCTGTATTTAGATAACTTTTTAAAAGCTGTATCTGTATCTAGATAAATTTTTAGACTATGTATCTGTATCTAGATCCATTTAAAAAGTATCTTTTAACAACTCTGTTATAAATAAATCCGGTTTACTATATTTTAATATATAGACATGGCTTCGTGATAGCGCTCTTGCATATTTTTAGGAGAACCTTAAAATGAAGAGGATAAAATAATTTGTCGTCCTATAGGCGAATCAACCGTTATTATAAAATCCAGAGGAGGCTAAATAAATAATCGATACAAGTAATTAAGTCTGGTTATACTTTACAAAATTCAGATTATTACCTAAACCTGTAAATATGGATCTTAAATATATTGGTCGAGTCGAATTGATCTACCCACATTAAGAAGAGGGTTACAAAATATGTTGTCTAACCGCTAAATGGGACAATTTTAAATTGTAACATGGATATTTTTGAACGTCCGGAATTTATAAATCCTCATATGATCATATCAGGCTCCCAACCAGCATCAGTGTGGAAATAGTATAGGGTATACCATTAGATCTAAATGGACTTCAAGCATTGAAGATTATTTGGTCATTCCTACATCTATGATAAACTTTTACAATGGAGGTTCCATATAATCGTTCGTAAAGATCACATTAGAACGATATACACAATATCCTCTTAATCTTTGGCAGTATTGTATTCGGATATTTAGCATAAGACAACTCAGACTATTCAACTTCACCTAAATTTTGAAAATAAGAGCAAATAAATTAATTAGGACATAACTAAAAATCTCATGATTTTTATGTCACAGTTAAAACTAGCAGGTTATTGAAAACTTCCTCAAAGGCTACATCCAGATTTGCAAAATCTCTTATACAACCCACTAGATCCCTCGCATCAACATTTTATACAACTAATATGTTCCTACAATTCTTCCGTTGTCTTTGTCTCTATGGGTGTTCAAATTTCTGAACTCTCAGGTAATGTGAGCCTTATTGATCAAAGTTCACGGTAAAATATAAATATCCATGCTACAATTTAAAATTGCACGTTTAGCGGTTAAACAACATATTTTAAACCCTCTTATTAATGCTGATTCATATTTACAGGTTGAAGCTTATCATCATAATTTCATAAAGTATAATAAAACTAAATTACGCGTTGAGGAATATTCAGGTTTAATGAATTATTTAGCTCCGGTTTTTCTAAAAATGATATACCTATACAACGGCCATTTTTAACTTCTTTTCATGTTATTGTGACGTGATGTCTATTAATATAGCAACCAATCTTTATATAACTTTCACTTACAACCTTACATGGCGCGAAATATTTGAGAATGTTTTTAGGTCAAACGCCTGCCTATAGACCTGATATAATATCAAGGGATTTTAAAATTAAATTCGATTCATCTTTATCTGATATCATTAAAAAATAATATATTTGTGAAAACATTGGCATATGTTTATACATATGAACTTCAAAAACGAGACCTACCCCGTTCCGTGCTTATTTATTGTTTATAATTAGTGAGGAGAATAAATGAACACCCGTGTGCTGAAATACCGGATAGGCTTAACAATTCAAATATAGTTAAAGGTTGTTTGATTCATGGCCCGTGTGGTGTTTTAAATACTAAATTTTCTTGCGTGAATCATGGTATATGTAGAAAAAACTTTCTTAAAAATTTTCAGACAGATTCAACAAGGAAATACAATAAATATTTGCTTCTTAAATATAATGCCTATATCAATGTTGAAATCTGCACTTTACCTAATATGGTTAAATCAATTTTCAAATACGAGTATAAAGATTATGATTGGGCAAATATAGATTTTATTTAGATTCCGGCCAGATTCAATATGACTAAATTAGAACTCATCTAAATCGGTATGTTAGCTCATGTAGAGCCATGTGGCGATTATTAGAGTTCCCATCATGATCTTTTCCAAGCCATTACACCATTAGTTGTTCATATATAAAACTGTACCGTTATAAATATTCGTATCAGATCGGCGCAGATATTGGACTTAGAAAATAGATGCCGATTTTATACATATTTTATTTTTTTTATTTTTATATACATTTTTTATTTTTTTTAACTTCTCGTAATAATTCTTTTTACTATGAAAACTGTGAAGGAAGGCACTTACTATGAAAACTGTGAAGGAAGGCACTTACTATGAAAACTGTGAAGGAAGGCACCACTTATAAAATAAAAATGTTTTTTTCTTCATTTTTAAAGATAGAAGAAGTAAAGTATATTAATAAACTAATATATAAGAAGATTACCCAAAATTTTGTATTTTAGTAAATAAAAATCGAATTTAAATTATTAGCTTTGATATAACTTAATTTACTGTGATAATAAATTTATTATTTTATTTTAAAATCTTTTTATTTTTCTATTATGTAAGAAATCTGTAATTTAAATTTATTCTCTTATCTTTATAAAGAAAAATATCAAATATTATAATTTAAATTATTTTATTAATTAATTTTAATATTTAATACTTTTTATTCAAATAAAGATGGTTTGTTATACAGAAAATTTAACATGAATATATATAGTGTGCAAACATATAAATTTATACTTATTTGCATTAAGGCTAAAATGTGAAAATTCTAATCATCATTAAAAAAAATAATATGTAACATCTATTACAGAATTTATAGTGCAAGTACAACTAACTATATCATCTGAAAATAGTCACATTGAAAAAAAATAAAATACAACCAGATAAATAAGAACCATAATTTAAAAATATTTATACATTTTTAAATCATGCTTCTTGAAAAGCCATTTAATGTTGTAGTTGTTAATACGTTAAGCTTGCATATCAGATGTAGGTTCAAGCCATGATTAGAATACCTTATTTATTTATTTATTGAAATAAATCAATTTGATATAGAGGTCTGAATTGGACGGGATTGCCCGCCCGCCCTTATAAACGGGCAGGCGGGCGGACGTATTAAAAAATTTAAACTATGGTCGGGTGGGTTAAGAAATTTAAGCAATTTACGGGCGGGTTAAAAAAAATTTAAAATCATTTAAGTAAATATTAATAAAAAATTGTTCTTATGAACTTTTTTAAATATTAAAAATTAAAATGTCCTTTTTTGGTATCATAAAAACTTTTTTCTTAAAATAAATAAACTTTTTCATATATTTAAAACTACTTTGGTGGAAACGACAAGAGATTTGCCAAAGCTATCAAGATTAGCAAAAAAAATATTTTTGTAGAGATGTAATGCTGAAATTTTTTTTATTAGATGCTTAAAAAATTGAAATAATGGCCATAATTAAATTTTATAATAGCGGGCTTGGGTTAAAAATTTTTTATAAATAATGGGTGGGCGAGTAAGATTAGACTAATGGGTTGGCGGGTATATTTTTTGAAAACTATAGGCGGGCTGGGCGGGCGGGTTAGTTTTTTTAAAACATTAAGTGGGCGGGCTTATGGTCCAAAAACCCGCCCAATGCAGACCTCTAATTAGATATTACATAGTACATGTTAACACTGATTATCGGTGAAATTATGACCGTTGATAACCAAATTTTATTTTTCAGTAAGGCTATTCTTACCAAGAACCCCAAGCAAAATCATTTTTCGTTCTTGATCAGGGGAAAAATAGATATGGAACGCGTTATTGGAAAAATATTGAATTTTTGAATGTATAGTTTTATTTATAATTATTATCTAGGTGGTGCATAATTCCAAAATTATATGAAATAAATTACTCTGTATTTGTCTCCTTGAGCAGTTAACGCGATTAAGTGGGTGACTTTCGCACTATTAAATTTTTTCCTAACAGTCGCTCCCATATATTGAGATATGCATACCAAATTTGTCTTTAAAAAAAGTGAGGTATATAGAAAAATTGTTAATTCTTTCTTTCTTCTATAACTAATTTGGTAAAAAAAATAAAAGTTAGGGGAAAGACATAGCAGAGAACCATGAACAGACCCAAGCTTAAACATGATGATTATAATTAAGTAATACGTTTATATATCAAGATTTTATAATTTTTTTTATATGCTATCAATATTTTATTATATTGACATAAAATCATTTTCAAACAAGCTTATATGCAAAATATATTGATAGAGGCAAATAGAAAATTATATAATTTTTTATAAAGATACTAGGCGTAATATATATTTTTATTAGTAATTAATGTTTTTATTTTATTTTCATAATTTTTCATCATTTATTTTAAACATCACGTCTTTTCTTTAATCCTCATCTCAGCCTCCGTCCTTACATTAGAGAAGGCCATTTCATAATTAAAATCAAGTCGTTGCTTGTGTCCTTTATACAGTGTTTCTGAATTTATATTAAAAGAAAATGCCATTAATAATAAAATAAATTTTTTTATTTGATGCCTGACGAGAAAATAAATCCAATTTCTTTATGGCCAACTAAATTAAATATATGGCAAAGTTCGAAAATTTGAAGCATATCATGGTCATCTCTGGATACTTTGAGAACATTGTAATAGGAGCTTAAAAAATATTTATTACTTCATTCAGCTCCGAGTAATCGATCATCAGCAACTTTTGACCGAATCAAAGATAGGTGTTAAATTCTCTGGCAGAAGTGCTATTTAAATCAAGAATGAATTTTTACACTTCGAAACATAACAACGAATTAATCCCAATTGGCACGTCGAGTAAAAATCGCTGCTAAAATATGTAATTACACTAATAATGTAGATGAGGATGTAAAATAACAATTTATTGTGGGTAGGTAAGGAATTACTCAATTTGGTGCATAATCTGTGCCACGTGTTCGGACCTGGTAGATAAGGATGATAAGTAGCTTACTTTTGATTACATTTATGAAATGAAGGTCGCTATAAAATAGTAAGTCTGGTTTTATAATAAAATATTGTGATTAACTATTTACACCTATTTTTATGTAAAATATATATAATTCCTTTACAAATATTAACCAGGTGGTGTTGTTTTTTCTATTTTAAATCGTTCTCCCTTGTAAAATTGATCAAAGTTGGTTTAAAATCCTAAAATACTCAATCGAAGTTATGTCCCCAATTATCTTAGATCTCAAAATAAAATTGTTTTTATCATTTTTCAGGGAAGGGAAAATTTTAGGGCTTAGTGGGCCAGATTTTATTTAGGGCGCGGTTCAAAAAAAAATCCAAAATAATCAAGGCTCATTCAATCCACAAAACGTGTCCCTTAAATATAAATTTTAATTTTCTAGGAGAAGGCTGGTGTCCCCCTTGCAACTCCGTGAAAAAATATCAATTATCAATGCGTGAATACTAATGTTAGCTGGGCCATAAAAACCTGGGACAAACGATTGAAATTATAAACTCGACTTAGGTCTATAGGTTAACTCTGCAAGTCTCTAAAAATGGCAAAATTTATAAATAATGCCAAAAATTCTTCTTTCTTTTTTTTTAAGTTAATTTCGGATATAGGCATATAACAAATATTTATAAAAAAAAGTAAATTACCAATTTTAAGGTGTCGGTAAATTGCGAAAAACATAAATTTAATCCCCTCATAGATAAGCAGAATATAGGATGACGCACTTCAGGAATTTCCTGTAGTCAAAAAATAAAAGAATAAAAAAATATTAATTATTTATTTATCGATTGGATATTTATTTACACCTTTCCTAAATATACCATTTGAATTTTTATATAAAGAGAGATTCAGTATTATTGCCATATTGCGATTTTAAACTTATTTTTATCGTGTTTTACCGAACATTAACATTAAATCCTCTTTGCAAATCAATTTCCTGCATTAATCAGTCAAAATTTAACCACAAATCATAAAATGTACCCTATAGGTTCGAATTCAAAGAGATATATCAGCTTTCATATTGTTTATATATAATATACCGCCAGAATATGGAGGGTTTTAACTCCATAAAAATTTGAATTTAAATCGACCAAGATAAATCTTTGAAACCTTAAAACAAAATTTTAATTTTTTCCATAACCAGCCCAATTGTGACACTACTAATTCAAATTTTTTTTAAAAAAATGAATGGTATAATCATTATTATAATGTGATAAGATTTTCTGGAATAATGTAAAAATTCGGAATTTTCTCAATTTTCGATCATTTATGAAAGATGATTATTTTGAATTTTTAAAAATAATCTATGACCCAGAATGTATTCAACATGCGTAAAGTGCAGAATAGAGATCAACATGACTTTGCCTCTATAAAATTTTAAAAAAGTTTTGTCGGCTCCATCCGTTTTTTTTGAGCTTGTATTAATTTTTTATGAAGGAAAAATCATAAATGTCTGTTATTCAAGGTTATAAAAATAAAAATAATTGTTTGACTCTTTTTTCAACCAGGCTCGCCCGGATGGGATTTCAGGTCGCGCAAATCTCTGGTGCAGAGCGCCAACCCATGAATTTCAGACAATTTTGTAGCAAGCTTTTGAATTATCTTTAATTTATATTCGCTTTATTAATATAAGTTTAAAAATATACAAGCGTTCAAATACCAAAATTATCTGATTTTCATAGTGTAGGTAATGCTGAAAAGCATTTCCGGTAAAATAAGATTTTTTGAGATTTATAAAGATTGCCTTCGTAAATGATATAAAATTGAGATTTTCCGAATCCTCTATTGAGGATCCCGGATAAGTAATTATTCCGCTATCAATATTAATAAAATATATTGTACATAATTAATGGAGGGGGGGGGAGGGGGGGGGGGGGTTGAAGATGACGAGTAAATATCATTTTGAAAGTATAATAATATTTTATAGTTTAAAAACTTTTTTTTCTTGCAGGTTTATATTGATTTTATTGTATAATCTGGTAATAACATAAGATATAAAAATACCTTTTCTACCAAAAAAATTTAATCTAATATAAAATATGTGTACCCTTTAAAAATAAAACTACTTTTGGCGGACAAAATATATTATACTTGAAACTTTTTCATTTTAAAGTAATATTTTTTTTAAATCCGCATGTTTTCCGCACCGTAGTTATAGGTAAGAGCCGAGAAACATGGTAAATGAAAGGCGGAGCTATAAGTCTGCGACCAAATTTTTCCCTCAAAAGTTTATCGAAAAAATTTCCGCAAAAATCAGGTACAACGTAGAAGGGGTTGTTTCTATCGAAATCGTATGAGCGGCAAACGGTGTTGTTATCTTCGGCTAAATTTTGCGAATTTTTATTATAATTATATCCGACTTTTAGATGATCCGAGATAGCATTCGTTGAGGTTGAGGTGCAGTGGGGAAATATAGGGATACGGGTATGTTCTATTAATTTTTATATTGAATATTATTGGATAAACCGGATATTGGAATCAATATCAGATCTTATAAATTGAGATCCGGCAGGGTTTCGGCAGGAAATTTGTATCCGGTAACATTTCTAGCATAAATCAAAATCTAAGGCAATAAAAAAATAATAATGGATGATGTCCTTATATTCATCGCCTAAAAATAAAATTATCAAAATAATACCAGACTGTTTTAAAAACATATCTCGAAAAAATATAATGCCGCATCAATTTATACCTTGACCGGATGTACGTAAGGCCTTAATGTCAACGTTGGATATGGAGGAATAAAAACCTTGTAAGGCAATATCATTCGTGATGCCTACTTGATCGTCCATATGGCTTATATCTCTTATATGCTTAACATCGTTAAGATTTTCATCGCATAAACGCTTCCCTAATAAATTCTCGGACATTTCTTCTTCGACCGTTTTAGAGCGAGGCAAGGAATAATCGAGACTGCTAGCTCTCAAGTTATTAAAATTGTAATCATTAGATAGATTAATATTATTAGTTGGATTAAGGTTCGAATTAGGATTAGCGAGGAAGTGTTGGAAGACTGGGGGTAGTCTGGAAGTGGAAAATCGTCGGAAACCTTTGAGAGATGATTTCCCCGAACCAATGGATTTATTATTCGCGATATCATAATTACTCAAGCTTGCGGGGCTCATATCAACTTGTTTGAGATTTATGTTATTATGGGAAGTTTCCATCAGTACGCCAATATTGTCTCCAGTGCTTTTATGATCGCCAAGGAGAAAATTAGGATTGAGCGGGCCCAGTTGTTGGTCGTTGAAAGCAGGGATGGCTCTTTTTTGAGCTAAGGCATCAAAGGCTGAGGGCGGAAAGCGTTTACCCATAGGTGTATTATAGTTTGGCACCCCTCCACCTATTCCTCTTCCATCACCAGTATTTTTGACCAGGCCTACCAAAACATTGTCGCCAAAGTCTTGGGTATCGAGAAGGCCTACCGACAAACCGAGATTCTAATGTTAAAAAAATTTATATATTATATATAGATAAGATCTGCAGACTCAGTCCTAAGACTGGCCTGGGTACACAAACGGGGTCGTATTTTAATTTTAAATATACCCGTGCCGGGCCTAAAAACTTTTAAAAAATACCCGGGCCGGGCTGAATATTTTAAAACGAAGTATCTAAATCGCCATTATTATAAATTAAAAATAAATAATATAAAAAAATATGGGAGGAAAATTTATTAACTTAGGTAATTATGATAAAATATTTTAAAAAATATATGAATTAGAGGGTTTGTGGTGCTTATGGCCATATAAAATTAAATTTAGGGAGGCCCAGTTAAAAATTATAGCAAGCAATTGCCATAAACATATCATTCTTATCCTCCCAAGCAAAATTAATTTGAGTGCAACATTTTTAAAGACCTTCCTGTGGCAATAAAAATGTCGATGATATTGCTCTCGGTTATGCTCTTGATAATAACATATTAAGGATTAGGTAACCGGTATCTCTAAAAATAATGACTTAACTATTTAAACTAACCATTGGCTTATCATTAAAAAAATAATAATAAATTTTTTAAACGTTACACCACTTATAAATTCTCTTTAATCTTTCTTTATTCCCTTCCTTCTTCTTATCGAATAAAAAAGAAGAAGACGAATGAATGGTACCATAAACATTAACCCATTTATTATTCTATTTTTTTTTACCATGGTAAACTTTATTAATTCTTTGATCCATAAAATAATTCATGATTTGATAGCTTCAATCTCAACTCTTTTTTAATGATTATATAATGAAGCATAACTTTAAATTAATTTTCCAATCCCTCTTACATTATTACGATATTATACAATCATAATTAAATTGTGTATCATTATCACATTGATCAAATAAACACATTATGAATGTTATTTAATATTGTAGCATATTATGATATTATTGATATACTTATTATTGATATACTATAGAAACTATATATTTTAAAAAAAATTTGAAGTTCATAAGAGAAAACTCAAAATGGAAAATGTTATCTTTTTAATTTTTTTTAGGTAAGTTTATTATATTATCAAATAAAATTTAGATTACATTATAAAACAGTTATAAAATGTAATTTAAATTTTAGTATAATCGTACATTCACAGTTAACGCAAATTATCTAAGCGAATTCGCAATGTATTAACGATCGATCGCAACGAATTTACATTGACAGTTAGCCAACAAACAACAGCGGATCGATGGCAATGAATTTCATTCATAGTATAAATTTCTGCGCGAAATAAATTATTTTTCAATAAGGTTTCCTCAACTTTAAAATTATTAATTTTTTTTATAAATGATAGACAGGAGACTAAAGAATTTAATGATATTAAAAGGAAAGAGGGCGAATTTTACATTCTCCTTCCAAAACTCTTAAAAAATTATATTCAATTTTCAACTATACCCGAATGACAGAAGTATTTATTTATCTATCTATAGTTATTTTATTATAATTAGGACATATTTTAATATAGTGGGATACATAAAGTCATATTTATATATCACACACACTCGTTTTATTAAAAATTATATAAGAAAAACTTATGGTTTGTTAAGTATCATTAATAATTAATTATTAAACAAATTTGGATATTTAAGAATAGGGTGTGGTTACCCAGGCGTAGTCTATTCATTCCAAATGGATTTAGATGGCTTCTTAATTGTGCAGTATTTGCCATCAATGCTGTCCACACGGTTTGGCAAATTTCAGTTTCCTTTAAAATCCATGGCTGTCCTCTCAAATCAACGAGAGTAGGAAGTGTGTCATGAGTTTGTAGAAACTCCCATTTTGAAAAAATAAATTTATACTGTGAATTAAATTCGTTATGATTGATCAGCTGTTAGTTCAAGGCGAATTCGCACTAACTGTGAATGCAAATTCGCTGAGATCGATAGGCTGTTAATTCACGCCTATGAATGCAAAGCTATAATACTTATTTAGTAATTCTGATATATATCGCCTGCCCGTGCTATAACTAAGTGGTAAGATCATATCAAGGCGTTCTAGCGAGCGCATAATGTTAATAGATGGGATAGTATTATAAATTAAATATTTGGAGATTTTGGGCGTTTGCAAATTAAATTTGTTTACCGCCTGCTTATTGTATTAATTGCAAATTTATATATCCGAAATTAATAGGTTAATTATGTGTTTTGAGTATATAATCCTAATGATAAAAAAAAAAATTTTTAAGCCGGAGTGATGTCGGAAAAATCAATGATTTAAAAATCGGGTGGGAAATGTTATAAGCATAAGATTGTGGAAAGATTGTAAAATTTATTAAAAAACAATCATGACCATGTTTGAAAATGAAATTTTTTATAAGCATTTTCGCCAGGCCCCTAAATATTCGGTCTCTGGTATTATAATAACATCAGATTACCAACTTTACCATCCCTGTAGAATCCATTTGTAATTTTCAAGTAATCATAAAAACTTTAAAAAAACAGTTCGATAGTCAGCCATTTTAAAAAAAGACCATAAATGGGAATGAAATTGTTCCCCATAATCCGCCATTTTTTTCTTAAAATTAATGATAGTCACTCTATGGAGGTTTTACTGGTATAGAATAATAAAATTAGATTTGTTTTAGTAATAAAAAAACTGTTTTTTATTAGTTTAAAAGTCCCAATTTTTAATATATATTTTTTTAAAATAAATAAACCATTTTAGTTTAAATATTTTTTTAATAGCCAATAAATAATCATTATAATGTGCTAGAAAAGTGCGTTTTCTTCTCTAAAAAACAATTTTTGACTTTTAAAACTCAATTAAAATGAATCAAACAAAAAAGAGCATCATATATAAATAAATTTTTTCTTAAAAAAAAATCCTTTTAATCATTCATGCATTGCATCATATATTACTTTTACTTCTTTAGTTGTATAATTCTTCATTGACATAATTGATATTATCATTTAAAATTTAAGAAGAAAAAAGGGATATTAAGCAACTTCTGTGATTAAGGCTATAATCAAAATTTTAATACTTTCCTTTTACTAAGTGTTATACTGGTGTATACTTTTTTTTAAAAAAAATAAATACCATCATGCCAAAAATGCACCAATACCATTTTTTTGTTGATACCGTTTATCCCTTAAAATTGAAAGTATCAGCTGATATCGCTACCAAAGTATCGGAAAAGGAGCATCTTTGATCATATTGCAATGACTAATTTTATATGATCCCATAAACGGAAAGGCCTCTTTCCCAAAATTTCAGTGTTGTTAAAAGCTAATTTTAACTAAAAGTAGCGCGCTATTGCTACCGTTTTCAAAAAAGTGCACTACTAAAGCTACTTTTTACGCTACTTTAGAATTTTTTAAAAAAAATTTTCAAGTATCTCTATTTCCGCAAATAAAAAATATGACTAAAATTTCAAATATATATGTAATTTTTTATATTGCATCTCAATAATAATAGAAATTTCCATACTTCCCCAAGTCGAGCGACGATAAGAAAATATAAGCTATTACTAAATAATCGTTCAACACTAGCAAGCAATGTAGTATTAAATTTTATAAATATTTTTTTTATATAAGAAAAATCAAAAATATTTATTTGAGTATTTTTAGATTTAAAAAAAAGTCTGAAGGATTTTCAATGGTATTACTATTTATTTCAAAATAATTATCCATAGTAAGTGGCGTTTTTGATCTGGTTAGGGTCAGTCTAAAATTATATAATTATAATAATGAAAGTGAAAATAAAAATTATGTAAGGGATAAGTGGATAGCTATGTTTGCCAACTAACCATTTTATCTATTGAGGGATTGAAATAAGTTTTTTTAAGCACATTTTGATAACATTTATAAATATATAAATAGATGAGTGATTAATTTTAAGTATGTTTAAAACCCTGATAATAATTTATAAAATATTATCATTAAATAGATGAGTCTGATGATAAAATAAAATGTTAATATTAATTATTTATTATAATTTTTATTTATAATATAATTCTTGAATAATATTTATGGCCAATTGAAACCTACCATATTTGGACGGGCCAGAAACTCAATCACATAAATTCATCCTGGCTCAAAAACTATTATAGATACAGCTTTTATTCAAATTTTATTTTAAAGATTAAGGATTGTGCTACACACATATATATTAAATTTGTTTGGTTGGTATATTATTTTTAAATTCCCTCGTTGAAGTTACTAGCCTTGTTTGATAAGACCTTCAGGCACATCTTAAAATGAAATACCCTGAGTTAATTCTTTTATGTAGATTAAAATATTTTGCGAATTCAGGAAAACGAAATTCCATATTATCATCATTTTTCAGGGAAATTTTGTCGATATAATCTATACCAAAATTATCTTCAATATCCAACATTTTAAATTATTTTGAAAACTTGATTTATAATGCAGATTCTAAAATATAAATTCAATTTCAAAACCAAATAAAATAAAAAGATTATGATTTTAGAATTAATTATAAATATATTTTAACAACTTTTATGTATATTAATTATATAAAATTGATAGTAGCAAAGTAGCGCTACTTTCTAAATTAGTAGCAAGCTACCGCTATAGCTATTTTTTTTAAAAGTAGCGCTTTAAAGCTATCGCTACTGAAAAAAGTAAGCGCTGCAGAATTTAAAAAAAAATCTATTGGAAAATATTGACGGTAAACAGAAAACCATCCTTCATTTTTTTATTGCTCTACAAATAATATGCATACATTTTTAAAAAAAGGTTAATTTCTAAATCCTATACTTAGTTTACATCATCAAGCGTAATCAAAATGGTGAACTTCCATTAGTCCTGTTTTAAATTGTATATTAAACATTACGATTGTCAATCTAGCGCTTTAATATTTCATGTCAGTGGCCATATCTATGTTTAATCTAGGAAAATAGGTCTATCAGTGACATTTTGCTACTAATATTTCCCAATATTCATAAATAATGGCTAATAAATAACGAATACAAGGCCAAAATAAGAAATACAGTTTTATAAAAAAATCTCAAAAGGACCACTTATAGATTAAACGGCTATCATCTCATTCTCAGTAGGTGAATAACGGCCTTTTTATATATCTTGATTGGCCCTTTCAGGTCGGCTGTTTTCCCACTCTCAATTGTGACCACACTTTATTGATTCATCGTATTCATACTTTTATATTATACCTTCTATTATATAGCTAAATTATTTTTCGTTATACAATTATTCCGAATGGTGAAAAAAAAATTATTCGTCGAAAAATGGAATTTTCAATATTCGTAAATATTCAACATGTTCTTTGTAGAACTTTTCATTTATTTTTCTTACTCTATTTCCATTTCTATTAATAATTTTAATTTTAAATATTAATTTCATTTTTGATTATATTTTGAAAGAATTTGATTTTTCAAATCAAATATACGACGAATCGATAGTTTGATTTTTGGTGCTAATATAAATAAGGAAATGCATTAAATATCAATTTAAAGAAACGAAGTTAAGACATAGTTTTAATAAAAAAAAAAATTTTTTAAAGTAATACCTTTATAGTTCTAAGTAGCTTGGTGTCATTGTGCAATTCGGTTCCTAAAAGAAAAATGTGAAACTTTTGATGAGCGCAGGGAGAAGATTGATCTAACGAAGTATAAAAATATGAAGAAATAAGTTGTTTTTATTAAAATAAGATTTTATTGTAATATAAGATTTCCCAAATTGTAGAATGCCACTAAATCAGCCGAGAAAAAAAAACAGCTCGAAATTTATCTCAAACTGTTTGAAAAAAATGATTTTCTTTTGCCCAAAAATCTTTGAAGATCATTTAATTTGAAGATTTTTTTAAAAAAAATCTAAATCATTTTTTAAAAAATTTGTGATTTCATATTTTCATATCACCTAGTGTTGTTAAACGGCTCAATTTGAGCCAAATTTTAAAAACGGCTAACTCAATATTTTATCCAGAAAAATATTATGCAAGCCTAGATTTGCTCAGCTCATAGATGGCATATAGGATTGAACATCTATTGGCGAAATCTCGACGCTTAGCAATATTTTCCTGGCTATAATGTTGAGTTAGCCGTTTTTTAAAATCGGCTCAAATCGAGCCGTTTAACAACACTAATATCACATGATTATTTATTTATATATATATTTTTTTACATTTGGAATTTTGATTTGATCAAAAAATTGTAGCATTCTCAAAAACTCTGAGATAAAACATTTGTTTGAAGAGAATTTCAAATTCTGAAACATCCCGATTAACTATGGGTTTGTTATTAATTACAATACAAATATATATGATATTTCAAAATCTGCATGTCTCAAACCCAACATTTTCCAATTTAAATTGAGCAAAAATATTTTTTTCGCTAGAGTAAATTGGATAGAAAAATTTGTTCTAGGACAAACGTTTATCTTTAAAAAAATATAATTTGAGTTTATTAAAATATAAATGATGTTATCCTCACAAGCATTTAAAGATTGTAAAAAAAAATATGTTAGGTTTTTTTTATTGATTTTTTTTTAGAAGAGTGTGTAAGTCTAGGGTAATGATATGTAAAGTAAGTCCACTTGCTAAACAAAGACCAAAATTTATTAAAATGGAATAAAACCCAATTATTTTTTAATTTATATTCCACGTGATCAGTTTGATCTACTATATATCATCCCCCTAAGGATAGAAATACTTAGTTAGCTTTAGAAAAAAACATGACCCTTACTGGATTAGAATCCAGAACTCTATAAGCCACAAATGCTACTTGTAAACATCAAATTTTTTTGAATATAAGAATAAAATTATCGCTATCTAATATTTTAATAAAACACATAAAAATCAATAACGTTCAAAGCTATCTAGGTATTTTTCAAAAAATTTATTTTATTATTAACCCATATTAATTATCAAACTTTTTCCGGTGAACTAAAATGCTTAATTTTTTGAAATTATATTTATAAGTCCAAAATTCATAATAAAAATTACAATTTTTTTTATTTTTTAAGAAAATATATTAAGCAGTTTTAATAAAGAATAGCGATTGGACGTGTTTGACTTATATATCTTGTCCTTGTATTTGTATGTTTGCTTGTTAATGATCATATTTATTTCTATATCTTATCTTCTCTCTCATTTAGAATAAATAGCGTCCAATCAGCAATTTGTTCTGTAAAACTAACTTTCATATATGTATTTATCGTTTCTTTTTCCTTTATGAAACCGTATTTTCTAGGATCGGACCGGTTTAAGCCTTCTTTGAAATATTGGTTATGGGCTGATATTATTAAATTTTCCGAAACGACCTGATAGGGTCTTAATTTAATAAATTTTTAGGAAGAATAAATAATGAAATGTCAGCGTCACCCTACTTTACTTTTATTTAACGCTCGTCTATCGCAATTTTTTAAACAAAAGATTCATCAGTTTAAAATTTTTTTAGTTGCAAATTCAATTTCTCCGACTCAATCCCAACCTAATTTATTGAGTTTTAAAGCAGGGGTTAAAACCGAACCTAAACCGAACTGTTAAACCGGTATTAACAATTAAAACCAAACTAAGCTGAACCATTAAAAATTTAGTCCGGTTTGATTCTTTTAATATCCTAACTCTACTCTATTATTAATAATCTGTTTCGATTAATTTGCTGTTTGAAGGTGTCAGCTATCTAAGTGTCCTCAGCTACAGAATTTATTCCATCTTTTATGTATAAAATTTCTCAGAAGAAAATCTTGAAAATATTATAACGACTCAATATCATTTTTGGGAAAGAGTTATAAAATTTTAAAAAAAAGTTTCTCTTTACATAATTCATATGAGTGTGTATGTGAAAAGGTTCAAACCAAATATTTGCTACGATTAGATCCCTAGTTTAGTCTGAGTGTCCCATATTTTTATTTTAGCTCGACCAGGTCCAAAATCAATGTTTAAAAATATAAATAACAAATTTTTATAAATGTTAAAATATGAATCACCAATTGTTTAGCATAAATATTAGTATTATCTAGAATAATGATTGATTCATTTATGTATATCAATGCAAATCAACTGGTGACACCATTATAATTTCCTATACATAAATAGTTTATATCAAAATTAGTGTTGTAAAACGGCTCGGTTTAAGCCGATTTTAAAAAAGGGCTAACTTAATATTTTACACAGAAAAACATTGCCTAAGCCTCGAGATTTCGTTGATAGCTCCAAGAATTTGGTATATATGACTAGGTAAATATTGATAATTATTTTATATAGTTTATTAACGTATTATCTAATGTTTCCTTCAATAATTTGCGCGGTAAAACAAATATTTACAAAAATTTACGCCAACAATATTTAAAAATTAAAGATAGCGTTATATTTTAATAAAGTCAAGGGTATTTTCCCCCAATGCCAAGCCCAGCCCCGAACTCGGTCCATAATCCCAAAAATTGTTATTAAAAACCATTTCAAAAAGGGGGAAATTTTTTAATATAGGTTTAATCAACCGAGTTTCAAAGAATATCATATAAGCGCTGTTTATTTTTAATCCTTTTTTTTAAAAAAAACGTCTTGTTTGGAAATGGCTTTAAAAAGGATAAATATAAATTATATCACTAATCGTTTGGAAAAAGATAATGGCGCGTTGGCTATTTATTTAATCCTCATACTTCAATTTTTCTTTGAAAAAATTTGCATAAAGCCAAAATTATTCAAAAATTCAGAGCCAGGCTAAAAAATAACCAGGAATAAAATTAAACCATTTAATGGTTAGTCTTGGCCGATTTTTCTGGGCGGAGCAAAAAATCCTGTGCGTGGTTTGAAAAAGAATTTAAAAAATTCAAATCCGGGTTTAAAATTTCGGCATCGTGCTGGTCTCTGATTTAAAGATACAATCATCGATTTATAGAGCGCCATCTCAAAAAATTTTCTTAGACATATTAATTATTTGAATATATTTGTTAACCGCGCAAATTATTAAAGGAAAAATTAAGTCAGGGTTAATAAAAGATTAAATAATTTGCAAAGATTGGAATTTAGTCATTATAAAAAAATTTATCATAATATATAATAAAAAAATCACTATTGTTCTTCTACCTGGTTAACAATTTTTACTTAGTCATATATATTCAAAATCAAATTGATTTAGTTCTTTCTTGTTAAAAAAAAACTAATTATTTAAAATATGCGAAATGTAAAAATAGCGCTTTTTCACCTTTGGCCCTATCTCGCGAGTGAAATTTCGCTCCTAATCTAGTAGCGAATTAATGATCTTTATATAAATTTTAATCGTAAATAAATGAGGCGGCCGAAAGGTGAGTGATTTGATACCAAATATCCCAAATATAACCTAAAAAAATAGATATCAAGGAATGCTCCACCAAAAACGGAAGACCTCATTATCTATATGAATTGGATCGATATGAAATGAATCCAATATTTTTAGGAAAATAAAATTTTTTTATTTTTAAAATATTATGAAATAATTTTTTTTATCCGCTGTTATAATGATTAAATTAAGACGTGTAGAGAAAAAATTTGATCTATTTTTTTTAATTTTTTCTCTTTTTAAAAAAATGACTACTTACAAACAAAATTTTCATGCCAATCAAACATTCGTAGAGTAGTCAAGACTATTGAGAAGAAGGTAGTGATAGCGATGCTAAATAGGTTCAATTTAGAAAAAAAGGCTAGCCCAATTTTAAACAAAAAATATTGTGCAAATCTGGAGATTTTACCCGTAGATGGCAGAAAGGTTTGGACATCTATTTGCGAAATCTGGAGGTTTCGCTAACATTAGTTTGGTTAAATTCTTAATTTAAAATCCGAGAAATCGACCCATTTAAAAAAACTATGAATGCGCATCTTATATATATCTTCTACGGGTTTTTCAGTCAGGCCTGTGAAATAAATTTTGTACAAGTTGTCCGACCTGGCAGTAATATTTTGTTTATTAAGGAAAACGACATAAATTTGCCTAATTATCACCAACTTTAAAAACATTTTCAAACTTCGGGCCGGCATGTAAAAAAAGCATTTTGAAAAATTTGTCCGAAATCTTTTTTCGGGCGCCGTCTATGTGCATTATTTACATTTACATAGATATAGGATGATTATTTATTTTTATGCACTCGTTATTCATTTGGAGATTGTTTTTTCAAAAAAAAGGCAAAATTTTAAATTAAATTAAGTAACGGGTAATTTAACAAAAATATTCGAAAATTTATATTATTCATAAATCGTTAAATCTTAATGAGCCGTTATTTAAAAAAAATTAATGTCTATAATAAATCAATGGTGTGTCTGAGATTAAAAAAATAGTTCAAATATAATTCGATATTTTTTTTTGTGATTGTCATTGAAAAAAAAAATGTTTATATAAACAAATATGAAACGCAAATTAATATGTATTTTGTATCTAAAAAATTTTAATTCGCAAATAACAAAAATATTGATAAAATAATGATTTCCGTTCTGTTGCATTTTCGTTGCGTTTCTTGAAAAAAAAAGGATGAACTTTTCAAATAAATATTTTTTTTATCCATCAAAGCCTAAAGGCACATTGTCTAGTAAAAAAAAATACAATTTACTCGTGAAAATTACTATTCGATAATAGGATAAGGTGCAAGGATTTGTCAAAATCCGTGATAAAAGTTAGATGAGAGAGGTA